CGGCTGTGATCGGCGCGCAGTAAAAAGTTGGAATATATATATATTATTAATGATACATATATACGGAAATATTAATATTAAGCTGCCTAAGATCTAAGCTTAGACCGAAAACTCGATCTCATTCGATTGTGTATCATAGCGGTCTTGTTTATTCTTATTATAAATGACTTTTTTATCAGTCTAATATATTTAATATCTTTTAACGTGCTAACATCTGGATCTTTGTGATTTGACCTGCGACTTTTGCTTAATAACTTCATATATATTTTTCTATATAAATTCAATATTTTAATGTGGTTGTTTAGGTGTTCTCCTCTTCTGAGTTATTCTATACTATTAATATTTATAATTTCTCTTGGACAAATTTAGTCATATTTTGTGATTATTATATATTAGGATTTATATGTTTCTATTAATGATTATTAAATTATCAATTTTTAAATTAATTAATTAGAGATAAAATATGTTACAGGTTATATGTGCGATCCAGATGATCTACCTGGATTAGCGCACTTCTGCGAGCACATGTTATTCTTGGGAACGAAGAAATATCCTCAGCAGAATGCTTACAATATATATCTGTCGCAAAATGGCGGTGCGAGCAATGCATCTACACACTTAGATCACACTACCTATTACTTTGATATAACTCCGGGGAAACTAGAAGGCGCTTTAGATCGCTTTGCGCAGTTTTTCATAGCGCCTCTCTTTACGGAGAACTTGACTGAGCTGGAGCTAAATGCCATAAATTCAGAACACGAGAAAAATTTGGCGAATGACACTTGGCGATTTGATCAATTAGATAAATCGTCTGCAAGCCCAGATCATCCATATTCAAAATTTGGCACAGGCAATAGAGAAACATTAGACATAATACCGAAGCAAAAGAACATTAATGTTAGAAATAGGCTACTGGAGTTTCATGAAAAGTATTATTCTGCAAATATTATGTCGCTGTGTGTTCTTGGCAAAGGTATGATAATTTACAAGTTCTTGATTAGACCTGTTCTTAGAACATTTGAATGTTATTTATACTGTTGTAAAATATGTCTAAAAATATTTAATTTTTGGGATATGAATTGAATGATGATTAATGAAATAACTTTAATGAATAAAAATGCTCTGTTTAGAGAGTTTAGATGAGCTCGAAAACATGGTAGTAGATCTCTTTTGTGAAGTACGAAACAAGGAAATTGAAGTTCCAACATGGCCTGAACATCCATTCAAGGATGAACATTTTCGCACTATATGGTACATTGTTCCGATAAAGGATACAAGAAATTTAGACCTTTCGTTTCCTATACCTGACATGCAGCAACATTATCGGTCGTCGGTAATATATTTTTCTTTTCATTTTGACACTTTATACGAATATTAGTTCTTTTTAAATATAATTATATGTAATATTTCTTATAATATGTGCGTACGTTTGTCCGTGCGTGTATGGTCGCAGGCGCGGGTGCGGACGAGGGTGCGAATAAGGATGCGTGCGTGTTTGTGTGCGTTTGTGTTGCTGTATTTGTAGATGCAATTGTATCTTAAAATTTTATATACATATAAAGAGTTGCGAGAATTATAAAAATATCCTTATAAAATTCTTAGTTATTAATATTACACATAATTGTAATTATTACATTACACATGATTATACATAATTATGTGATATTGTTTATATAGCCTGCGCATTACGTTTCTCATTTACTTGGACACGAAGGAGAGGGTTCATTATTATCGGCTTTAAAGGCCAGGGGTTGGTGTAACTCCCTGATATCTGGAAGACGCTTAGGCGCCAGAGGTTTCAGTTTCTTCAGTGTTGTTGTAGATCTAACCGAAGAAGGTATTAAGCATATCGAAGATATTGTTCAACTAATGTTTCAATATATCAATATGCTGAAGTTGAAAGGCCCGATCGAATGGATTTACGATGTAATTAATAAAATAAAATACAATCTTATGTAGAATGCTCGGCAGATTGTAGGATTGCAATTTGCCGGACACTCTATATTTTAATATTCTGTATTACGTATGGAGTTATATGATTTTGCATTTACAGGAATACAGAGATATTGCGAACATGAATTTCCGTTTTAAGGAAAAATCTTCGCCTCGTAATTATGTGAGTTCTATGGTCCAAGCGATACAGGAATATCCCATGAACGATGTTTTGTGTGCGGAACATGTTTTCACTGAGTGGCGACCTGACTTAATCGAGCAGATAATAGAATATCTGACACCGAAAAATATCAGGATTCACGTGGTCGCAAAAGCGTATGAAAGTATAGCCAATGAAACCGAAAGTTGGTACGGCACTAAATATAAGAAAGAGAAAATATCCAAGAAAATGCTGGACATGTGGCACCTCGCTGGCTATAGCACGGATCTAAAGTTGCCTCCTAAGAATGAATTTATAGCGACCACGTTTGATATCAAGCCACAAACTAAGGTAATTAAAATTATCATTTTTCGCAATATTGATCCCGGGGTATAACTTATGATATTAGAAATTGAAATTTCATGAAGCTGAAACCATGTGTTTTTAGAATCGAATAAATTCTGTCTTATATATATATATATATAATATATTATTTTTATATTTTTATATAATAATAATTATTATATTAAAATGCTTTTTGAATATATTTTTGCACTAACTGTATAAAATTATATGCCGGTGTTTAAGGATTATTA